TAACACTATATTTTGTGTTATTACCTTACTATATTACAGAAAACTAATTAAAGCTGATGCATGAGTGTTTCTAATACAATGACTGAGAGAGTGACACCAATTTGACATTTCTATCTTCTGACCAACATAATCAATCTCTCAATGGTTTTTTTTTCCTTTTGCTATTGGAGCAAATGGGAGCACAAAAAAATATATTTGAAGTTTGCCTAACGCAAATTGCGTTCATCATAAAAGTTTATCCAACAATGACGACTTCCACTTCTGCAAACCCCCGAAGGTGCCTATTACATATTCTGCTAAATAATAATCTGTTTATGATGCAGAGATTTTGCATTTTCGACTAGTGTTTTTTGACATTTAAATACTAACCTTCGAACACTGAGCTGCCCCAACCAGTGATGTAACACGAACTGAAGCTTAGTCGTTTCTCATCCATTTCATTTTCCATTATGCACAGAGGCTGCACATGTTTTGTGAAATATAAAGGGTGATGCAGATGCAAAAGTGCCACATCGTTGTCATATTTCGATCGGCTGAAATTCTCATGCAGGATCACTTGCTGGACCGAACGATACTGGACACCCTTTCCATACTTTGATCGAGAATTCACTCCAGCCACTATTCGTAATTTATAGTTGTTACTATAAAAGAAAGATGTAAGGGACAAATTTACATACAAAATGCATGCAAAAGATCTGCAATAAAAACTATTATTTTCGAAAGCCTAAATTGTTTATTGGTGAGTAAAAAGGTTTGATGTAGTAAGTAGTCTATATCCAATGCTAATCTAAAAAGAAATAAGGATATAATTAACTGAACTACTACTGCAAGTAAGTATATAATTTTAGTTCAACTACCAGCCCTTGTTTATTTAACTAAATGTGCATCTGTGAATGGTTCTTGGGCTCAGATGAAATATATCACCTATTTGCTTTAACACGCAACATTTAACATTGCTTAAAGTTATAATAGTAAGATGTGTATCTGCGCACAAATGCTGCATGGTATGAGGGAGGAGAAGCATTAAAGTGTCTCACCTATTTCTGAAGCAGTGGGATGCGGTGACTACCCACCGATGGCTGAAGACGGACCCACCGCAGATATGCCTTGACATCTGCTGTATGCTCACCTGCCAAGGCCATGCACCCTCCAATGCAGAAAGGCCTCCTGAAATACGAAGGTGCTTTGGAGGATCCAGCAAAGGTCGCTTTCCACAACCTTAAAAGTGCATTTAGTCAGTCGCACTGAACACTTTTCATTACTTTTTATATGACAGCCACTGATGATTAGATTGTCTGTAAATAATGTTAACCCTTTTAAAACGGCAGTAACATTTATTACTAAAATAAACCGTTTATATGCATTTTTGATATGCGATATTTAAAAGGTCTAATGATGTATTAAGATGGTCCTCTCACAATGCATGTAAATGTTAGTGGGAAGACACAGATCCCTATTTTGAATAAGTAATGATTATAAGTAAAATGATCAAAGTAGAGTAAAAATTCAATTTATTGTTACATTAAATAAAACATTTAAAGGGATAGTTCACCCAAAAATGAAAATGCTGTCATCATTTACTCACCCTCATGTCGTTCCAAACCTGTATGAGTTGCTTTCTTATGTTGAACACAAAAAAAAGATATTTTGAAGATTGCTGGTAATCAAACAGTTGGTGGTTGCCATTGACTTCCATAGTATTTTTTTTTCCTACTATGGAAGTCAATGGCAACCACGAACTGTTTGATTACCAGTAATCTTCAAAATATCTTCTTTTATGTTCAACATAAGAAAGCAACTCATACAGGTTTGGAACTACATGAGGGTGAGTAAATGACAGAATTTTCATTTTTGGGTGAACTATCCCTTTAAGAAATATTTTAATAAATAAACATTTAAGAAAATATTTTCTTGCATATGATTTTTGTTTTCCCACAACTGCCTGATGGTAAATACATATTACATTATGATACTTTATTAATTGCTGGATTTTTTTTCTTTTAGTTTACCACTGATAATAGTTGTCTAAAGGAATAAAATATTTTTTACTAGAATTGTCTGAAACCTCACAAAAGGCATGTAATTTGTTTTATTGGGATTATTAATAATAAAAATAATAATATTGTTAAAATAAAACTACCTGTAATCCCAGATGATAACGAGCTAATGAAGACTAATTGTAGGGCTGTTATAAACATTTTAAATGTGAAAGCAATAAGAGGGAGATACAAAGCAGATAGAAACAATCGAATCTCCTTGGAACTGATTATTAGGTAATCTGAAAAGATTCTGAAAGTGACGTAAAATCGTTCTGTAATGTTTTAAAAGACCCGGACAAGAAAGAACGTGCAAATCAACATTTCAAATCTTTAGTTTATGCAGACAACAGCGTATTGTACAATACATATTCACAATTTCTATGACAAAGTTATGTAAAGGACACTAGAAAGGAAGGTCATCCTTTAGAAACACCATTAAACAAATACACTGAGATGAATTTCATGCGAGTTTGTCCCTCATGACACCAAGCCAACAACCTGTTTGTTATTTTTATAGCGTTTTAAAGATATTTTCAAACTCTTAGTCAAACACAATGAAGGCTGTGTGATTGTTGCTTCAGACATTTTAGGCAACATAACATCAAAATTGTCATTCCCGAACATTCCCGAAACACCTCATTCTCGAAGAAGGCTCTTTGAGTGAAATTCCAATAAACGAAAACTAAAATGAACTCTCTTATTGTGGAACTGGTGCTACCTATTGGCCGACAGTCCCTTACATTTTGCTGGGAGTCATCAATTATGCAGGGTAACGGTGCACACTGAAGGAAGGTAGCAGCAACAATATGGCGACATCCGCAATTTCTAACGAATTTATTCGACATCTGCTGTCCAGTGAGGATTTTTTGGATACCCGCTAACGTAATCATAGTAAGTATTGTGTTTATATATCGCACTCGCGATGTTTTTATTCCCAGCAATGGAAGCCGTTGCACTGTCAATGAATGTCGCAGAGACGCCGCACGCTGAGGGGAGTTTTACTGCTAGACCCTTCTCGCCAAATGCACATTCGCTTTTATATTCCGTAATGACTGTAATGTAGTTCACTTTTTTGTTCAAATGAACCTATTGTGATTAGGCCCTTTCATTTCACCCTCTCAAATGACACTATTAAGCGGTCATAATATGAGTTAAACACATTCTTGCAAGGCATTATGTGGTGGGTTATTTGTATTTGCATGATCAATGACGTGATCCGTAGCCTGTAGCTTTGCACCCTCATTTGAATAAAGGTCTTGTCAGCATTTATCAAATGTCAAGCTGAGCAAATGAGCAAAAATGCGCATGTGGACAGGTTTGAAGTGATCCGTTGTAATTAAGACGTTCAAAAGGCAATACATGCTTGGCTGCTTATTGATTGTAGGGTGGACGCAGGTTGCACGGGTGTGGTATGCTACATTTTCTTGTTTATATTCCTCGCGAGCAGAAACCTTGCACAACGTCGTTGAGATAACTTGCTGTTCTCTAAAAGCGATAGACGTTTTGCTCAGAAATGCGGTTATATGACTAAAAAGATGTTGGCTGTGTGAGTATAAAAGGGTAAATACGACGAGAGAGCGAAAAAAAACACTGCAGTAGCCTATTTTCCGTTTTTCCACCGCGGCTTCGGACCGCTTTCGTGAAGGCGTCAGGCTGTTTAGAAACGTACGTTTTCGGACAAAATTGTTTTCTGACCCCGAGGAAAATGTGACAACGTTTTGGAAAACGCAAAGATGTTTGGAGAACGCAAAGAACCGTTGTGCTGATAAGGATTTCGTGACCAAACATTGATGAAATCAAGGTAGGACCACTGCGCATCAAGTCAGATAACCATACTTGACGATGTTCTTGAAATAAGGTAGAGGTTTGTTTTAAGGAATTGTAATTTATGTCCGAATATACATCATTTATTGACATGTGTTTTGCATTTGAAGACGTTAGTGTGTCGTTTTGACAGTTCTGTGGCGCAAAGAAGCTCGAAAAGCACATGGATGAAAATGCATTCATAATTGTATTCATAATGCTTCCCAAATTAACCTATGTCCTATCATCTGTAAATAAGCTGGACCACGTAGCCCACCTGACATTTTCTAAAGCCGTGTCCCTGTGCAGCCCAGCATAGTACCTTCAGTTATTTGAGATATTTAGGCCCACCCAACAGAAGCCCACCTCGTTTATTTGATACGAATTCCCTTACAACCTTTTTAATAACCCCCTGAGAAACAATATGCTTCCATATACTTAAGCTTATGGAAGGTGCACTGTAAAAATTTTATTCCTGGCAGCGGTATGCCATGAGATTTCTTAACTGTCTTTAGTAATACTACATACTACTGTTTAACCAATTTGAATGTGATTGTTCACAAAATGCAAAATATTATTACAGCTAATAAAATCTTGTGAGGGCAACTATTTGTGTGTGTGTGTGTGGGTGTGTTTCATAATAGAGAATGTTAATCAATTTTAATTAAATGTATTTAAGTAACAAGATGTGCTTTTTTAAACAAATAACTAACAATTAACATGACAACACAATTAACAGCATATTGCAAAATAATAATCCTTTAACCATAAATGCATAATTTGTTCATATTGCATTGCATGCTGGAAATTCTCGAAACCTTAAATCAGTAGCATTTTCTAGAAAGTAACTCTGTTAGGCTTGGTGGGTCAAAATGTGCAGAAATATTGTTGCTCTTGCATTTATTTATTTATTTTATTTTATTTTTAAATGTAGATTTAAAGTAATTCTAATTTCCTACTGTATATGATTCAAAAAACCCTTATAAGTCCCTTTTTACAGTGTGGTGCTGATTGGACAGCTCCCGTAAGGCAAGATCCTCTTTGCTTGTGTTGTTTTGACCACACAGCTTTACACAGTTTTACTAATAAGACATTGAAAATTTTAGTATGATAATTTCTTTTGTTTACCTGTTTCATTGCTAAGGGAAAAAAATAAACTTAAACCAACCTAAACTGGTTTACAGGTCTTTGCTGGTTTAAGCTGGTCTCCTAGTCTGACCAAGTAAGTGCCCAAAACCCTTTATAGACCTGCCAAGAGACCTGCTAAGACTGACAAACCAGCTAAGGCTGTTTTAAGCTGTTTTTTTCCAACAGGTCTTGAAGTGATATCAGATTCATACCCATGGGACTTCTGCCACCAATGGTGTCTGTTATGTGCCAACGTTTGTCGCATTCCTTGATATTTTGTTCATGTTTCTTAATTGCTTGAAGGTAAATAGGGTATATTTACTTCAAAGGCAAGATGAAAATGCAAATGCCATTTCTGAAACAAAACTGGAATTGGATGGAGAGAAAAGCTAAAAGTCAGCTACAGTAAGTAGCTCTGTAATATCAGGATATGGCTTGGTTAAGTGTCTGGCCCATAAGTGCACACAAGCTTTTAGATGATGTGGTTCACCAGGCCTCCCTTAACCCACCCCATTTCCCATTCTGCAGCCTTAGGGACATAACGCATGTCCCAAATCGGCCTCTTAGTGGAGGTTTTGTTCATGAGGACGATAGGTTCAAATCTGCTTGTGCTATCGTGAGGTAGGCCTATCTTCTAATCCAGTCTACATCCTTTCAGCTCCCAGCACCCTTTCATCTAAAATAGAAACATCCATCATAATGACCCAAAAGAACCATACCATGAGAAGTTACGCAAGCACAAATCAGGAAAAAAAAGTCCAATGAATCACTTATCACAAAGACAATTAATATTATTGCAAGTGTAATCCAAAGACAAACTTTAAGTATCACCTTTATCTGCTCATAATGGAGGGTGCTTTTCATTTTTCATGAAGTGGATGACTCATCCAGGATCTAGTGCCAGTCTCTCTTTAACATGCTCTCAATTTAGCAACTGATTGTTTTGATATGTAAGGTAATATTTTTAGATGCAAGGCTTAGCATTTTACTTTCCTGTGCTTAACATATCAGTTTGTGTGAGCGGATGATGTAACAAGGTAGTATTGTTCAGTAAGACTATCTTTCCACAAGCTAGAATTAAATCTAAATGATTAATTTGATAATTTGCTACGTGTACTACGTTAGGCTAACTGAGACTTGTCATTTGCACTTACATATTGTTGCTCTTTTGTTAGTTTTTGATTGCTTCTATTGTCCTCATTTGTAAGTCGCTTTGGAAAAAAGCATCTGCTAAATGTAAATGTAAATTACATTTTGTTGTTTTGCTTTTTTTAATTGTGACAAGGTTGTGTGGGCTCTCTTGGCTTAGATTTTAAGTATTGATAATGTGATACAAGATAGTAGTAGCTGGTAAAAATAGTAACCTAATTGATGACTAATGATCATATGCATGAATGAATAGTTATTGTAATGTTGTAGATCAGAAAGTCTTGCATTTACAGTTTTTCTATATTAAGCTCATTTATAGATTTTATTCAAAACTTGAAATCACTTGATTTTCTGATGCAAATGACTTCTGTCTGGTGATGTATACTGGATTTTTCCAATCATTTAGTCAGCGTAAATCCTTTTCTTGCAGTCAACTGATCTGTCACTACTTCTATTTCATCTCAACTTTAAGTCCTGAAATTTTAGATTTCTCCATTTGCCAACCTTCATTAAAGATCAGCAAAGTATATACAAATATTGATAATAGTATTAGTAATAAATATTATCACCCCAAATGTTACAGCTTTACATTGAGTTTTGCAGTAATAATAATGTAACAGTAATTCAGGTTGACTTAAGAAGAGGTTGATATCACACATCACAGTTTCCGTGTCCAAGTGCTCTGTTAAATCCCAAAAGCAAACAACAAACAGTGCTAATATACACTCACAGTGTCCTGTCATACTACTACCTAAAAATTATGATCCTAACCTTTATCGCAATACTGAAATTTCAGTTGGCCACAGTGATTCATCTTTAATGAATCATTAAAATATTGGTGTCCGGGACACTGTGAGCACAGAGACTGCAGTCAAAGTCCCTTTCAGGGAAAGTCTGTTCACTCGGCGTCCATATTTACAGAGCATCTGGGAAGCTATTTCAGGCGTCCAAAACCAACTCCTACCTTTTTGAATGGGGAAAGCCTGAAATCTTAAAAACTGCGTGCCACACTTAAATCAGCAATAAAATCTGGACATAAACTGTCTCATATTTGTTGTTTTTTATTCTCAAATAGTGTTAAAAAAGCTTTCAAGCTGAACCTGCCAGTGCAAATATTCAATGACTTTACCAATTGGCTCTTGCATTTAGAAGACTGGGCTTATTCCACCATTGTGCGCTTTGCACTTTCTCCCATTCATAAGCAATGTGAGTGCACTGTCTTTGTATCTAAAGTCTTTGCTTTAGTGTACACTGTGAGTTTTTGTAAGCTTAGGTTAAAGGGATAGTTCTGCCAAAAAAATTTGTATATTTGTCATTTTGTACATTTTTCATGTCAGTCATGGAAGTCAATGGGGGCCAGCAACTATTTGGTTACCCACATTCTTCAAGATAGTGGAGGCTTGGACTAGTGTTAATTTTGTCAGCTATTTTCAGTTTTAGTCTTAGTCCCTTGTTAAATGTCCTTGTTAGTGTCACGGTGTGGTGCGGGAGAGAAGCACGAATATGAAGAAGATAACAATAAACTGTCTTTAATAATCCACATACGGGTAATCCATAGCAGGGAAACAGCATACACACACACACACCAGTGTAATACAGATGTAAGACCGGACGAAGAAACGCTGAACTGAATACAACTTATATAGGGAGAATAATTGACGAGACACACCTGAACATGACACAATCAGACATAGACAGAAACTAGGTCACAGAGCACATGGGGAGTGAAAACACAACAAACAGTCCTGGGGTGACAGTTGCCA